TTTCAAAAGTTGCCGGTTTTTTGCAATAACAACACTTTGCAATTAAAGAATTAAAAATTTTTTGATAATGGTACCAATGGGGTGTCAGCACCTACCATATGCAAAAGGTTTCGTTCCGATCAGTCCATCCAGCTAGGCGTAATGCGCGAACATACATAGAAAAAAAAATATATATACTGATCGAATTGAGTAACCTCCTCCTTTTTCGAAGTCGGTTAAAAAGGAGTACAAATGAATTTTTGTATACAAAATTTTGTACTATTTTTGCGTGAATTAATTTCTCTGAACATTCAGCGCAAGAAATTATTAGAGCATAATGGGAAAAATCTATAATTGTTGGAGTATTTAAAATTCACGTATAAAATTTCACTTCTTTCATTTTGAAATATCTGGCAAATATCTTTGACTTTTTATATAATACTTTAATATTTTGTAACGCACAGTTCTTCAAGAAAATATATCGTTTTAGTAAAAAGAGTGACGGGTGCTCTTTGATCACAACATTTGCGTTACAACAACTTGCTACACACCAAATAATCATTTTGTACTAATAAAAAAATATACATATATAACATATTTAATTTATATTTTTTTTAATGAAATTGGTATTTGCTTTAGTTTTAAAAAAAATATCTTGTAATATTTTATTTGGCACACTCCGTATAAAGACAAAAGACATTGTCATATGAGACATTAATTGAAAATTAAATTACCTGGTGCACATTCGTTATCCAATTCGAAATAGTTAGCTTTGCAAGTACAAATTCCGTTTGCGCATTCAGCATTTTTCGTACCGCAGTTGTTTATTTCGCACCTTTTTCCAAGACCTAGTATGAAATTCAATACAAACAACGTGAATTTTTAAAATAATATTATAGTAAATAATAACTTACGATGTGGATATAACTATTTTTTAAGACATATACATTATTCGATGGATGCAAAAATAATTACAATTATCGTTACTAGTTTGATACTTTACTATTTTACTATTTCACTATTTTACTATTTTACTACTTTACTGTGTCACTACTTCACTACTTCACTATTTTACTATTTCACTATTTTATTATTTCATTACTTTACTACTTTATTATTACACTATTTCATTATTGTATTATTTTACTATTGTACTATTATGCTACTTCACTATTTTACTACTTCACTACTTTACTACTTCATTATTGCACTATTTCATTATTATATTATTTTACTATTGCACCATTGTACTCCTATACTATTCCGCTACCCTATGAGTTTTTAATTTTTTAATTCCACCATTTTACTATTTCACTAGTTTATTATACGACCATTCTATTATCTCACAATGTTACTATTTTATTTGATTAAACACTTCTCGGTTGGTATTACAAAATAAAATATAAAAATGCATATTTAATTTATATTATAACTCCTCAGTGGTAACATTTTATATAAGTAAACATGCTTTCAAAATTATTGCAAATAAGAAACAAAAATGCATGTTATATTTTAACAAAGTCATAAATCCTCACCTGGCGAAGATTCTACACAAGCTGTTTTATCTGAATTCGGATCAGTTCCATTTGGACATGAACATACATTTTCCGTGCAGGACAATTCAGTAGAGTTATCATTAACATAACAGTCTATATCTTGTTGGCATTTTTCACCGATACCTCTATTGCCCCAGCAAAATGATTCACTTTCGTTGTAACGAGAGTTTTCGTTACAAACGCAGAACCCGTCCTTACAAATTGCATCCGGACCGAAAACATAACACTGCATAGTCGAGAGACACGAAAATTTATAGTCTGCAATCGCTGCAACAAAAATAGGAACATTTCTTTATAACGTTAAGGATTTTGGTAGTTATAGATTTGATAGTTTCGAAAATTGGAGGTTTAGGAATTTGGAAATTTAAAAGTTTAGAGATCTAGCGAGTTGAAAATTTGAAGATTTAGTGATTTAAAGATCTAGAAATTTGAAAGTTTGGAAACCTCGCGATTTAGGAATTTGGCAGGTTAGGAAAAAGGTTTGAGAATTTGGAAATTTGAAAGTTTAGGAATCTAGCGATTTGAAGATTTGAAAATTTACGAATTTTGAAATTTGGAAACCTAAATGTTTGAAGATTTGTAAACTTGGGGATTTATGGAGAGAAATTTAAAAATTTGGGGATTTACAAATTTGGCGACCTATATTATGGAGACGTTTAGGAATTTGGAAATATTGAAATTTGATTATTTAGGAACTGGAATTTTAGAAATCGAAAATCTGTAAATTTCAAAATTTGGACATTCAGGGATTCAAGAATTTGGAAATTCTTTAAACTAGAAACATTTTACATTTGGGGAAATAGAAATTTTAGTGTTAGAAGGTTTAGATATTTGAGAATTTAATAATATGTGAATTTCAGGTTTTGAAAATTTGGATATTTTAAGAAATGTCGAAATTTATATATTTGAGAATTAAAAAATTTGCAAATCTTATGTTTTGGAAAATTTAGAAACTCGAAAATTTTAGAATTATAACATTTGTGAATTTAATAATTTCCATTTTTCCAACTTCTAAATACTTAAAAATCTGGAAATTCAAAAATTTAAGAATTAAGTAAATAATATTTGAATTTTTCATTTATATTTCGAAATAGTATGAAAACTTACAAAATATTGCAATAAAACAATAATAATACTGTTATTATAATACAAAATATTTCCGCAGACGCAATTAGTAAAAAAAATTGTAAGCAACTAAAAGAGAATTTAGAAGGAGAAAATATTTGCTTAATATTTTATTGCCATTACATTTCTGAAAAATGGTAATATTTAGTAGATTAATTTGATATGTTACATACCTTTTAAACATATTCTATTATCTTCGGAAACAACTCTTTGTATTTCGCAATGCCACTTTCCATTTCGACATTCTGAATATTCGATAACGGGACTATCGCTTTGTTGACATGGTTCACCAATCTCTGAAATAACGATTGCATTAAAATGTATTTTCTTTTTGTCCTATCAATAATCATAATTACTCGGATTAATAAGTTTCAGAAAACATTGCTCTCATGTTTTAACCAGTTAACTGTGACGATCTTTTTGCAAAGCGCGCACTAGTGTGTGTCGCGATAATCAAGCGATGACAAGTTAGTTCTCAAGAATTTGTGAGTCCATCTCAAATCATTTACACTTTTTATTTGTTTAGTTCATTTCGTGTTGACCTCTAAACATTTTAAACATATTACAATTTACGAATATAACTTAGTTTTCGCCAAAATTACAATTTAAATATCAAATTGTAACAAAATTTTTACGCATGACGAATATAGTCGTCACGACACAAAATTCTGCCACATCTTCATGACGGATATAGTCGTCAAACACACTTAACTGGTTAAATTAATACAATCTTGAATGTTTCAAAATAGTAACCCTCGAAATTATGTCATTTTAATTCAAATTCAAATTTATTCAAAAATATATTGGTTTTAAGCAAAATGCAAGTAATAAACAAGGTTTTGCATTTAATCGGGTATCAATACAAATTTGTTTTTAATACATTATCAATTTTCTTTGCATAACAAATCAAACTTTAATAATGAACTAAATTGTTGTTTAAATGATTTCATTCAATAATAAATCTTCTGTCGTCGAGGGATAAAGCATATTTATTAAATGATTTACTTGAAAAATGAATCCGTAATTAAATCTTAATTGTAAATTATAAGAAGTTTCGATAAATTTTTTGTCAAACTTTAAAACATTAAAAAAAGCTTCGTTTAGAAGTAAATTTTAATTTTAAGCTGATAACCTTAAATTAACAATTAAATTTTTATTTCAGATTGAAAATTATTCAAATAATTAGGATTTTATCCTCGGTCAAAAAATATTTAATTATTAATTATAATTTCACAATTTAATTATTGATAATGTGAATCAAAATTTGAAAATCCTATTGAAATAATGAAATAACGAAATTCGATTAGTAAAAAGATAAATCAAATTATAGATAGAAAAATCTCTAACAGCAACTATTTATTAAATAACTCTAATAATAAATAAAGTTGTAAAAAATATGAAATAATGTGAAATATTATTCTTCGAGTGAACGAGGGTTTAATTTCATTTAATCAGTTCAATATAATTATAATACAATGTATTATACTAATATGTTATGATTATTATTACATTTCAAAATCTCAAATTTAGGAATTTACAAATATACAAATGCCTGTTACTTCTTTTACATTTTCTTTAAATATGCGTAATTACATAAATGATTAATAAAAAATAATTAAAAGCAAACTTGGAAGATATGCAATAAAAGGCAGGGAACTTTATAAAATTATCGAAGTGTAAAAATAAAACATTTACACTTATCGAAGCGCATAAATTTCATTAATTAGTAACAAGAGGAATCTTAATTGGGAACATAAAATGTCGTAAGACAGTTTATCTCGACACAAATTATCATTATTGTGTTGTATATTTTGTTTATGTTCAAATTGCTTCAGACAATTTGTTATACAATATGTATAATATACATACAACGCCTTTAAATCGATTACGTGGAAAAAAACTAAAACCAAGCTCAATTAATCACATGGTTATAAAAATAACACCTGTTGATACTTTTACTTGTTAGAAATTCATTTTCAAATTAATTATTTCTTGTTATCTTTAATTGCTGTTATGAAATATCAGTAAACAAAAATCAAGTACATATGTATACAGAAAGTGTGACCGGACGAGTGATACAACTGAGCAGAGGGTGGGTCTTTATTTAAAAATAAGTCGAAAAAAAGGAATAACATTTTATCGTTTAACGTTTCGTTTTCGAGAGAATCGAATTTGAGAATTCTATCCAGTACGAGTGCACTGGACTGTCTCTCTAACAAGTAAACCTACCCAAGTGTCACTCTCCGATTTTCATGA